CCTGAGCCATGGGGACCGACAGACATCTCATAGCCAGCTCGATCACGACCAGATACCGCATTGAAGTCACCCAGAACAATGCGAATATCTCGCCGGGGACATCTGTCTGCCACAGATGCAAGTTTGGGGTAGAACATCTTTTTCACTTCAAGTTTACAAACGTCAGTAGGAGTGTACACACCAATAAGAGACATGAAGCCAAAAGATAGCTTCAGTCTCAATACCATACACTCATCAACATGAGTAACCTCTACTACCGAGGGCTGGAGTCTGCTGGAGATGGCAATGGCTACTCCCTGGAGGTGATGGCCGTCGCTGCGGCCCGTCCAGTGATAGGTGTAGCCATCTACACTGGTCATGCTGCTGCCAGGTCTCCTCACCTCCGACAGAGCAGCCACCTCAACTCTCAGCCTCCCCAGTTCCCTTGACAGCAGAGGCTACCGATCATCCTGACTCAAAGAACGGACGTTCCAAGCCCCCACCCTGACTTCCCGCCTGAGATTCAGCCTCGGGCAGTTACTCCGGGTGGATGCCACCTCTGCCACCCCCACCGACGCTGCCCTACATAAAAGGGGGTGGCGGGCTGCAGGCCCCATCATCCACCTGTGGGGTTCCCGAGGGCATTCCCCCACAAGCTTCAGTCTGGGCTTGCGGCTGCCAGAGTGTAGGCGAGACGAGTAGTTCCCGTTCCCAGCCTGCGCCCCAGCAGCCGCCCCCCCAGCAAAACTCACAGTCTGCCTCACTTGCTGGGTGGGAGGGACTTTTCTCCTCCTCCCAGCCTTTCCATTTACGAGGTTCACTGCTGGTTTGTTATATCTGGGGGGAGGAGGACTGGCAATGCCCACCTCCCCCGAGCCACCCATTAACCCCAGGGGGCTTAGGAGCAGGAGTTGGTACAGGGCCAGGGCGTGTCCAGACCCCGGTAGGCCATGAGCCTGGACCTCTGGGGCCTCCTGCTGCTCCGAAATCCTCCACAGTTTAGCCTGGGACCGCAAGGTACCCAGTTTCCATAGGAGCCCACGAGGAGGCACTGCAGGAGTCTCGATGAAGGAGAGGCTATGAACTGGCAGGAGGAGGCTTATGCATAGCTGCTCCCTTTTTCGCACTAGGCTAGCCAGCGGTGGCAGCTGTAAGCGGGAAGGCATGCAAGCACTTAACACTAACTAGACTACCACATCATCGCTTCACATCACCCTGTGCGTGGAGAAGGAGGTAGAAGGTCAAGTGAGGTGATTATCCGAATATTCGTTAAAAATAGCAAGAGCTAGTAGATATGAAATTAAATGTGTAAAAAGATAAGTATACAGTGATCGAAACAAGTAATATTCATATAAAATACGAATAAACAAGACATTGCATAAATATATATACGAAAAGAAAATCTCAAACGTTCGAAATGCAAACTAATATAACTAAATCGGATAATTTGACCCAAGGCTTTATAGAGATTATAAAGGTCAGTAAGACAAGGGTATGTCAGATGAAAATTATATTGAATGCATTTTTTTATTTTGTTTAAAATATCACATAATATAATTTAATGCTAGTGGCCTTAACAGAAATATTGAAAATAGGTAGAGAGGGAGGGGAATAACGGGTGGAGGTTAGGAGGGAGGGAAGGGGTTTAGGACGGTAGGGATTGTAACAGCGGGAGGGTGTGGGGACGGGGGTAGGTGGGAAACGTGGGGAAAAGAGAAAATGTTTGTTTATGCATAATTCAACTAAATTATTTAAATATTCAAAAATATCCCACAGATGCGTAATTAATCCGAGCCGAAAAAAATAACGTCGATATAGCGTCGGTTAATACAATGGGAGATAATGAGAATAAGATAGGTGCCAAGAATATGGCAATGCTTAGGACTCTAGTCTCGTGACCTAGAATGTCCGTAGAAATAGATAATAATTTTTTTAAATGCACGCTATATTTCACCCACATGAATAAAAGATTTAAGCATTATAAACAATTTATGCTAAATAGGCTAGCATGATCGAGTTAGATTTTTTTTAACACGCCAAAGAAAGAAATAACTCTCGCAAGTGATAAAAATGGGGATTGATTCCCTTAAAAAGACGGCGATACACCATGACATAAAACAACAAGGAAAGAAAATGCACTTTGCACAGATATATTTGAAAGAAAATCACTGCACGTAAAAAAAAAAAAAAAAAAAAAATGCACAGCATGCACACATGGTAGAAGAAAAAGGGAAAGAAAGGAAATGATTGCTCATGGTGTACTTACAATTTTTCGGAGAGAGGATGTGATCTTGAAGGAGACATGGAATTCGTGTCGCAGCTGCATAGAGCGACATAGCGCCGTCTGCCACTAGTTTGTCAGGGTTTAGTTTTTCTTGTGCAGAAGTACGTGTCTTTAAGGCCTTGATACTGCTAGTTTTGCTTTAAGGAAGCGAAACCTGGACGCTACCCAGTGCCTTGGAATCACGTCGGGATGCCTTTTGTAACATCCCTACGCCGGATCATGGGGTACAGTTGGCAGGACGTAACAAGTCCCTACGCCGGATCATGGGGTACAGTTGGCAGGACGTAACAAGTCCCTACGCCGGATCATGGGGTACAGTTGGCAGGACGTAACAAGTCCCTACGCCGGATCATGGGGTACACTTGGCAGGACGTAACAAGTCCCTACGCCGGATCATGGGGTACAGTTGGCAGGACCATGTGTCCAACTGACGACTCCACCGTGAGACTGGCATGCGACATGCTACTTGCATAATTTGGGACCGCCAACTCAGGCTATATGGGCACCTAGCTCGTTTCTGTGTGGATGACCCAGTCCTTCAGGTTGTCTCTTTACGAGACAATCCTGCATGGAGGAAGCCTATGGAAAGACCTAGGAA